AGGGTGAGGCGCCCGTGCGGCTGTGCAGCAAGGGTCGGTGTGAATGGGGCAGGGGCACCTGATGCTGCTTTTCGTTTATCCCGTGTTCTATTGGCCCGGCGTGGCTTTAGCGGCGCGAACAAGCAAGCGCGCAAGCACATTCAAGCGGGGTGTCGGGTGTTGTGTGTCGCGTGGTGTGTTGTGAGCGCGTGCGTGCTCGGCACACGCTGTCACGTGCTTCGGGTGACGGCTGCATGAGTATCTTGGCACTCGGCTCTCCATCTGATTGCGTTTTCTCTGCTACTCCTGCTCATCACGCAGGTTTCTGCTCTTGCAGGGGGCCTGTCCGTCGGCGCACCCCAGGGTCGCCGGGGGGGAGTGTCGTCTGAAGCTAGTCTCATTCAACTTCTTCCTCCTCCTCCTCCTTCCTCCTCCTGCTCCCCTCCCCTCCTCGTGCGGCTAGCACGCAGGGCGTAACCAGTGATGCCCCTGCAGCTTCTCTCGCTCGCGAGCCGCCCGGCAGCGCGCCCGCCGGTGCCCCCGGCGCCAGCCATGGCTTCCTCGAGCGATGATGAGCCCCTCGTGGCGCTCCCCCGCCCGGCGGGCCCCGGCCCGGCGCCCGCCCCCGGGGACGCGCCTGGCCGCCGTGTCCGGCCCGGCGGGCTTGGCCGGGGCCGGCCGCCAACGACAACGGCGCGCGCGGCGCTTGAGGCGCGGAGTCGGCATTCTCTCCACGTAAGAGACCATGGGCCAATCACTTCGGAGGCCATGGGTGATGCCCACCGAGCGACTGGTGTTAAGCCCCTTCAGACGTTTGTTTATTTTGTCAAGCAGAGGTCCCGTGGTACAGGGGATACCCGCATTGGTAACGTGAGTAGCCCCTTCTTTTGTGAAAATGGTGAGCCCCTTACCTTTGAACGGGCCTTGGCGGGGGTCAACACCCACGACGCCTCTAAGGAAGATGATTTATTTTTTGCAGCATCTGACCTTTGCGTAGCCCTCGGAGCGGCCACTCCCACTGAACGGATAGCAGTCCACATTTGGTCACAATATACTCGTAGTGCACAGTTCGTATCGTGTGTTGCGACTGCCGCCAGAGACCCTCATGTCAGTGCGATCGCTAATGTGGGACACAAAGCGTTAGAAGCCGTGCTTTCATCAGCGTGCTTGGATGGTCCGTGCCTTCCTCGTAAGATCCTTCCTAACGGTAGGTCGAAGACCCCAAACATAGATGCAGGTCAGCAAACTGCTGGATCTATTGGCGGTCTGCTGCGGGCCTTGCAAGTAGCCGCCGAGCGTTGCCTGGCTGACAGACCCAAAGCCAGCTGGGCAGAGGTCAAAGGTCTGTGCCGGGTCTTACAGGCACGCAACCTCATGCCCAATCATTGCGCGATTGCGCTACACCTGGCAGGCTTAGCCGATTTGTCAGATTTCTCAGCGGCTGAGCCCACAATGGAAGGCACGAACACCCGTCTAGCATTGAGCATCTTAGATGAGGACGCTGCTGCAAGGGAACTCAATCTCACGGCCCCGGAGGGGCGGCTCTTGATCCGGATCCTGGCCTGCCAGTGGTGGGTAGTCTGCTCGGCGGTGTATTTTGGAGCCTCGACCGCTTGGAGATTTGAATCCCGGCTGCATGCAGATTCTGTGCGCCTCGCTGAGGCTTGCAAGGGCAAGCGCAAAAGGTCCTGACCGTGCTTGGCCTGCAGAAAAGTTGGAGGAAAAGCGCTCCCCACCGGCCTCAGGGGTGTGGTGGGCGAATTTCTGACGTTAAGGGCCCTTAACGTCAGAAATTCGCCCAGGGGACTTGCCCCGCGGTGAATTTCTGTCGTCTTGAGCTTTTTAACATCAGGTAACTGCCCCGGGCATCCTTGAGGCGCACCCGTGCCTTGTGCCGTGATTTGTCGCTTATCTAATTGGTCATGCAGTACCTCGTTGCAGTCGTGTTTGCAGAGTCGCCGGCCGTCTGTCGGGCAGCCTCCGGCTGGCCCGGGAGGGGGGTGGGGCCGCCGTCGTCGTCGTCGTCGTCGTCGTCGTCGTCGTCGTCGTCGGTCGTCGTCGTCGTCGTCGTCGTCGTCGTCGTCGTCGTCGTCGTCGGGTGCCCCGCCGTTGCTGCTGCCGCCGTCGTCGGTGTTCTTATCCAGCCACTTGCGCTGACGCATGCAAGCAGTTTGCATTCACCACGATCGGGGATCCTCTCGGTGTGCACTTGATGTGATGGGGGTGTTTCTGTGTTTGCAAGCTCGGCTTCTCTGCCGTTCTATGGGACGATCAGGCATGGGGCAGAGAGCGTCGCCAAATTTGTCCACCCCTCCTGGTTCTCCTTGGCCCCCTCCCTCCTTCCCTCCCCGCCCTGCTCCCCGCTCTCTCTCCCCCCCCTGTCTCTCCGTTACCTTGTCACCACCGCCGCTCCATCATCATTGATTCGTGGAGAGCGTGGGCGGGAGTGCGAGTCACGGCTTGTAGCACTCGTTTTGTTGGACGTCTTCGTCTGCAGCAGCGAGCTCACCTCTGGCCTGGGAGGGGGCGGGTGTCCTCGGCGTTGTCGTCGTCGTCGTCGTCGTCCTCGTCGTCGTCGTCGTCGTCGTCGTCGTCGTCGTCGTCGTCGTCGTCGTCGTCGTCGTCGTCGTCGCCGTCCGTGCCCCTGGGGGAGCTCTACCTTTCGTGGGCGTTCCGCTAATCTTGTCCCCATGCCTGTTTGTTGCTGCTTTCGACCGTTGTTGTACACCGTGCGGTGCCCTCCCCCCCACCCCCGTACCTGCTGTCCGGCCGCCCTCGCTGGGCGTGCGCGGGGAGGAGGTCGGGTTTGCTCCCGCGCCCCGTGTTGCCTCCGCTGTCCTTTTTCGGCCCAGCGGCCACGAGGGTAGGACGCCCTGGCGCCGCTTCGGCTGGGCCGTCGCGCCCATGGGGCGCTCGCGCCGCCGCCGCGATGATAGCCGCAGTCGCTCCGGGCGCCGGCGCCGCCGCACCCCATTGCGGCGTCGCCCCAGCTCCACGTCATCTTGTAGTCCTACGCCACTGGCAGAGTCGGCGGTGGAGGCCCCATCGCCCGGCCGGGAGGGCGTCCCTGGCCCCCTCAGCCCGCACACGCCCCTGCAGCGCCCCCCCGGCGTCTGGGACCACCCCGAGTTCCCTGGCGTCAGCACCAAAGCTGTGGGCACGCCCCAGGCGCAGCCCGCCCTAGGCTTCTCCTCCCAGCTGGGGTCTCCAGTGCCACGGTCCCCGGCGACGCCAGTCAGGAGAGCCCGCCTGTCTCCGGCGCCTACCTCGCCTGGCCAGGCGCTCCACAGCTCGCCAGGTCCGCCGCTCCATAGCCCGCCAGGCTTGCCACCGGGCTGGGAGTCCAAGCGCGACCTCGCGGGCGCCCTTTTCTTCTTCAACCGGGCGACTAACGAGTCTCAGTGGGAGCACCCGGCGACGGCGCCGCCACCGCCGCCGCCGCCGCCGCCACCCCCGCCCTCGCGTGAGCCCGCCCACCCGAGCGTGCCCGCCAAGCCTGCCCCTGCCTCCACCCAGCCGGCTGTGGTGGCGCTGGCGCCGTCTCCCGCCAGCGTGGCGCCAGTCCTGGGGCCAGGCCCCCTGCCGCCTACCCCGGTCGCGGCCGCTGCCCCGGCCAACAGCGAGGCGTCCAGTGCTCTCAAGGCGGGTTCCCCCGTTCCTGGCCCGCTGGGCGCGTCCCGCGAGGAGGAGCTCAGGCAGATCAGGCTGGAGCTCGAGGCTCTCCAAACCGAGCGCGCCCAGTGGGACGAATTCACCTCATCTTCCACTGGGTTGAAGTTCTGGTTCCACGTGGCGTCGGGGACCATCGCGCCCACGTGCCCCCCAGAGCTCCTCCAGCGCGCGGCACGCAGCTCCGCCCTCAAGGCCAGGCTGGAGGCCTTGTCGTCGCCGGGGGCCGCGTCTGGCACGCATGCGAGCCCATGCCTGGGGTCGGGTCCGGCTTCCCGTCCGGGCGGTTCCGCCGGAGCCGTCCCGCCTTTGGGCCATGCTTCGCCCTCCCCGGCTGCCCCTCATGGCTTGCTGCGTGAGGTACCTGAGGAACCCGGCGTGCCCCCAGTCAGTGGTCCCTACTTTGCCGGTAGCCCTTCGGTCCCTGCCAGCCTCCCCAGCAGCGGCGGTCCAGCGGCATCCACCCCAGCCTGGGCGGCTGGCCAGCCGCCGGGCCCCGGCGCGGCTGTGAGCGCGGCAGTATCGGCCCAGGTGCATGCCAACTCGGCTCCCGCCGCGTCCCCCGCGCCGTCTCGCTCCCTTGAGCCAAAAATGGCTTGATCGCTCCCTTGAGCCAAAATCCAGCTGCTGAACCGCCGGCTTGGGACCGTGATCGTTCGCGGTGGCCGGGCGGTTTTGGACACGTGGATTGAAGAATTGATCCTCTTCCTAGGGCCCGTGACCGATTTACAGTCGCCCGTCCCTCCGGCCTCATCCGCGTCCCTGCTCTGCGCGCCGGCCCCCAAGAGGTCGGCGCGGCAGATCTTGAGCGAAGCGGAAGCCGCCGACCAGGGTGGAGGCCCGCGGGCCTTCCAGTAAGGGCGGGCTGCTGACTGCCCCCCGCTCGGCTTGCATTGGCGCCGTGTGAATTTTCGGCGGGACACCCCGCTACATGTCCTCTGTTTTTTCACAGCCACTGGAAGCCTTATGAACCGTATTGTTTGCAGCGTAGCGGTAAAACATGCGTGTCCAACACAGTGCCGCCACGTGCGTGTGTGCCCTTGTCTGGCGCGTGCGCCCTGCAGCCCGCGTTGCATGCTGACGTGCTCCTTGTTAGCGTGCGCGCGAGTATGGTCCTCCATGCAGTGTCTCGGCAGCTTTGCAATCAGGGAGTCCGTGCGCGCATGACCGAGTTGGTTGATCAGTGTTGCAGTTGCTCTTGAGTTGTGCTTCACAGTCCTTGACACGCACCGGCTCGCTGATTGAGGCCGTCCTTGCCCCGTGTACGTGCGTGCAAGGTTTACCATGCATGCTGTCATCCTCTCTGCGCCCCGCCACGTCCTGCCCGTCTCGCTCCGCCCTCAGCCGTGCAGCGGCCACGCGGCGAACCCGCCGTGCCGCCCGCGGGGGCGCTCGCCGCGCAGGGCGGGAAGTGTCCAGCCATGGACTCCTGTGGGCCTGAATGCCCCGCAAAACCTCTGCGTGACTTGATCTTGCGCTGGCTTGGCACGGAGAGCCGCGGCCTAGAAATGTGTGCGCTCGCCAAAGACTGCGATGCACTGCTAGCTACCTGCCCCTCCCTCCCGCCCCCTCTCTTGCTCTGCTGCAACGGGGCTGCCGCTCCGCTTGCGGCCCTGGTGTCCGCACTTTCGTCGCTGCTGCGCCGGGAGGTCGCGCCCTCGCTAGCGCGCGCGGGCTTGCGCCAGCAGCCCCGGCAAGTTGTCTCCCCGTACGCTGGGGGAATCCGGCTGGGGGACGCCGTCCCGTCGCGCCCCGCCGAGGGGCCCGAGCCCTGTAGCTCCGTCCGCCTGGAGGTGCTGAACCCCGGCCGCCTGGGCTTCCTGGCCCTGGGCACTGATGTGTTCTTGGAGTGGCGCCTCCACGCTGTCGCCCACGTTTTATCCGGGAGTGGCGCCGACATTTGCGTGCTTCCGGGTGCGCGCCTGCCTCCTGGGGCAGTTCTGCCGGCGGGCTTCCCATTCTCGTGGCTGGGCCCACGATCGGTCTCTTGGGGCGCGGTCGGTATTTTTGTGCGCACCGAGATTGTCTCGCTCCTCCGCCCTCTCCCTGACTTGTCCTCTGACCGCGCTCAGTGGTTTGAGTTCTGGGGTGATGCTGCTCCCGGCGCGCCGACTCCTGGCCCGAGCTTTGTTTTCTGCGCGTGCTACCCCGCCCCGGGCGGCGATGTGGCGACGTGGTCGGCTATTGTTTCCTCCGTCACTGAGGTACGCGCGCGCCACCCGGGTGCGCGCGTCCTGATCTGTGGCGATGGTAACGTCCACCTGTCCTACGTCTTGCAGCATCCTCCTGGCTGTGCTTGCCTCCACTGCCGCCAGTCGGCGCAAGACCGCACCATCGAGGCTATGATCACCGCCGCCGGCTTTGTGGCGTGCAACCCGCCAGTTGCCACGCATGACTCGGGCACGTGCATCGACCTGATCCTCGCCGAGCGCCACTGTCTCATTCCTGTTACTGTCGCCCATGCGAGTGGTGTAGATTCGGACCATCGGTTGGTCTCGTGTTCGTTCCCGTGCGCCTTCCGCCCCCCGCAGCTGTCAGGGCTGTGTCGCGTGACGTGGCGCACAGATGGCCAGTGGGACGATGTGCTGCTCGCCGTGGCGCCTGTCCTGGCGTACCTGGCTGACGCCGTCGAATCCCTCATTGCCTGTGAGTGGCTGCGCCCTCCGTGGAGCGGGGGGGGCGCCACTAAGAAGCAGCGCCGCGCTTTATTGGACGCGGCCGCTTGGGCGCGCGACGTGATTTACGTGCTGGCTGGGTTCGCGGCGGGGGCGACTAAGGCGTCCGCGGCAGCCCCCGTGCGCCCGAGTAGGCCTCCGCTAGACCCCGACGCGTACGAATCGCAAGCTGCTTTTAAAAGGGCTGTTGCGCAAGCCGCGTGGGCCGAGCGCCACCTGGCGTTTAAGCGCTTCTCCGACCTCCGCACGGTCTCCCCTGGTTTGGCCGAGCGGTTTCTTTCGGAATTTTTTCGGTCGCGGAACCCCTTTGAAATTGCGTTGGCCGACCCGGTCGATGGGCACCCCCTCAGTGTGGAGGAGATGCTCGAGGCATTGCAGACTGACATGATGGACCGCGTGCGCAATGATTTCCCTTGTAACCCGGAGGAGCAGCGCGCGCAGGCCTGCGCGGTTTCGGCGATCCGGTCGGTTGGCGCTGGCCCTGCCTCTCCGGGCCTCGCCCTTTACTCGACCACTGAGGTGGATGCCGTCTTAGACAGCTTGAAGACCACCTCCTCCGCGCTCCGCGGGTGTTTCGCTTCTGTCCGGTCGGCGGTGCCAGAGGGCCGCAGGGTTACCCTAGCCCTCGCGAACCTTTCCCGGCAGTGCGCCATTACGAGCACCCTGTGGTCGAGCCGGCAGGTGACTCCCCTGCACAAGTCGGGCCCCCGCGTCGTCCGCTCCACTTTGTGCTTGCGCCCGATTTCTATTTCGGCGGTCATGACGTCTGTCGTGGATGGCCTGTGGACGTTGCGCAACGCCCCGCTGTTACAGGCGTACTGCGGAGTGGCCCAACAGGGCGGAGTGGGTGACCCCCTCTCTCTCCTCCTGGCTCTTCTCCTTCATGCCCAACTCCGCTGTGCCCAGGGCCTGCCCACATATTGGGCGGTCACGGATCTTCAGTGGGCGTTTGATGTTGCCTCCCACCCCGCCATGCTCCTGAATGCCTACGAAGCAGGTGTCCGTGGCCATGATTGGCTTCTCCTTGACGATTTTATGTCGTCCGACAACCAGTACATTGCGCTTCGCGGCCACATCTCTTCTTTGTTTTCGCTTGGCGGCGGCACGGCGCAGGGCCGTAGGTTCAGCGTGGGTGTTTTCAACGCGCAGCTCAAGTGGCTGGCGGAGGAGGTGTATCGCGTGCTGCCTGGGAGCTGTGCTGCTTGGGTTGAGCCCCACCTGCGGCGTTTGTGCTTAGCGCTTCCTGTGCCTGATTCCCCTGCCGCGTGTGGGCCAGCGCCGCCAGCTGTTGGGGGCGACCTCGAAGCCTTGGCTGTCGAGGTGGCGTCGGCAGCTGCCGCGGAGCAGGCGCCCTTCCCGAGTGCCGTGCGCGCGATGATGCGCGGTGCCCTGCGGCTAGCTTCTGAGGCCGACAGGGCCTACTTGATGGACCGCCTGGGCACGGGCCTTTTGCCCCCACTGCAGTTTGTTGATGACCTCACGGTTGCCACATCCTCGCCGGGGGCTCTCCGAGCCATCGTGTCGCGGGAGCCATGGTCAGCCTGCTCGCGGTACGCTAGCCGCACCCGGTCCATGTTTAATTACAAGACGGGGAAAACCGCGGCCATGGTGATCCTTGACAGCCCCCCGCCGGGGGACATCGGCTGCCCAGTGGTGGATACTAAGGCCCTGCTGGGGGTGCTCTTTGACTCCCGGCTCTCTTTCCGCCCCCTGCTTCGGGCTACGCTGGCCAAAGGTCATGAGCTGTTCGAGGCGCTGTTTTTCGCCGGCGGGTCTGGGGGCTTTGGTCTCCCAGTCCTGTGTGCCCAAGTGCCGTCGCGCGTGGAATCTGCCTTGCTCTACCCCTCCCCGTTCCTCTTCCTGGCCGAGCGGGCGCGTTTTTCACTCGATCATTTGCAAGCGTCCTGGGCACGGCGTTTGCTCGGATGCGCTATCGGCCCAGAATTGCCCGGCGCGGTTGTCGTAGCGCAGTGTGGGTGGCAGCTGCGCTTGGGCACTAAGATGCTTGAGCGTACGGTCCTCGCTCGCGCAAGGCTGCTCCTCCTGCCCGCCGAGCACCCGGGTGCCAGTATGCTGACAGTGGCCTCGGGCACGAGCTGCTCCACGTGGGCGAGCGCGGTCCGGGCGTGGATGTGCTCTCTGGACCCTCCCCTTCCTGACGTGGTGGAGTGGCCTTTCGCCGGACCTCCGGCGTGCGCCAAGGCGCGCGCTGATCCTGCAGCGCGTCGTCTGCTCCTCCGGAGCTACAAGTTTTATGTCGTCCGCCCTGCACTCCTTAAGCTGGATCTTCTCTCGTTCCAGCGGGCTACTGCAGATGCCCTGCCTGTCTTTCGTCTCCCGTTCTCGGCGTGGCTGTCCGGCCCGCCGGGAACGCACTGGAACCTTTTAGATTTGTCACTTGGCCCTGGCTCCTGGCTCCAGTTCCGCCTCTGGTCTGTGGTGCGAATGTCTGGATGCTGGCCTCTCCAGGTGCTGGGGGCCCCGCTCTGCGTTTCTACCCTGCCCCGTTGTGGGGCTTGTGGCGCGCGTGACGTAGATGTGTGGCATGCCCTCTTTTCCTGCTCAGCCTCGGCTGAACTTAGGTCCGCTCTGTGGTCTCGCCTCCCCTTGCCTCCTCCCTCCTGTCCTGCCCAGGTTTCTCAGTTTCTCTTCCACCAGTGCCGCCCGCCAGCGGAGCGCCGTGAGCATGTCCATTTTGTTGCCACGGCCGTGCTCTTGGCCATGACTGGTGCCATGCATCATTAGGCCCGGCCTGTTTGCGGGGCGCCTGGCGTGAGCCCCTGACCGGTGCTTGGGCAGGGGGGTGCCAGGCGTGGGTCGGCACCGTCGTGGCCTGCGCCCAGGGGGGGCGAGCGCGCAGGTCGTCTGTGGTCCGCGTGCGCGCGGTGGCAAAATGCGGCTTGGATCCTCTGCTACCCGCGCCGCGTGCGCGCGCTTCCCACCGTGCCTGCTTGCCTGTCCTGCTTCTCCTCTGCGTTTTCTCTGCCTCACAGTGGTGATGCGGCCCCTGCGGCCCGGTCTGCGTGCAAAATCCTGCCTTACTGTTGTGGTCCCATCGCACATTCTATCTTGTTGTATGCTTCCCAGCAGGTGTGTGAGGGTGTGCAGCTGCGTGCAAAAGTCCATGCGTTGTTCCTGCTTCACTGTCGTGATGCGGCCCTGCGGCCCGTACTGCGTGCAAGTGTCTGCCTCTCTGTTGTGTTGCGGCCCCTGCGGCCCGTGTTACGTCCTTTTTCCTGCCTCACAGTGGTGATGCGGCCCTTTGTGGTCCCAATGACCTCGTTAGATTTGACGGTATCGTCTCTCGCACATTCTATCTTGTTGTATGCTTCTCGGCATGTGTGTGTGGGTGTGCTTCTCGGCTTGGGTGTGTGTGTGTGCAGTGCAACTATGCCACGACGTCCCTTTGCGATCGTTGGGTCTGACTTTCCGTTTGGAGGAGCACGCTTCCCGTCTGACCTCTGGGGGGGGGGCTGTCGTCCAGTGCCCGCCTCTGTCAGGCAGATTTCGGCTGACCTGCGAGGGGGCTGTTGTCTCTGTCGTCGCGTCGTCGTCGTCGTCGTCGTCGTCGTCGTCGTCGTCGTCGTCGTCGTCGTCGTCGTCGTCGTCGCCCTCTCCGTCGTCTCGTTGGTTTTTGTGTTGTCCCTTGTCTCGTCGCCGCTCTTGCGTGGTATGCACTCGGAGAAGGGGAGCAGCGGTGCGATGTTGCATGCTTGTTGTCCTCTCATTGTATCCATCTGTTTGCATCATGTGGTGCCTGTTGTTTTGCTTGCACTTGTTGCTTCTCTTGCCCTGTTCTCTATCTGCTGGCCGCGCACGCGGGGCCGTCGCCCTAGCGTCTCCATTTGGCTGGGGGGGCCGCCCTCCTATTCGAGGGCAGGCGCCGTCGCCGAGGGGCGCCTTAGGGCGGGTGGGTCGGCGTGGGCTGCGAGCTCTCTTCTTTCTCAAGGGGGGCCTTACGAAGGGCGGTGAAAGACCCGACCCTAGACGGAGGCACCCTGCGCTCCGCCTCGCCCACTTCTCTCTGGGGGGGGGTGAGCCGGGGCGCCGCGGGGGTCCGCGGACCGGGCGCGCGCGGCGAGGGCGCGCGGCGGGCGTCCGGGCTGTGGCCGCCGCAGCGGAGGAAAAAAAAAAAAACGGTAGCTTGATCTCTCTGTCGTTCCTGTTGTTGCTCCTCTGGCTGGCCTCGGCGCTGCGCGCGCGCCGGTTGTGGTGTCGGCCTTGTGTAGTAGGGCCAGCCAGTCGCCCTGGTGCAACCACGGGACACGTCCCAGGAGCTCCTGTCGACCCTCGGCGTCTGAGCGCGTGGGCCTCCTCAGCACGAGCCTTGAGGCGAGGAGGGACAGTGTCCATCCTGGTGGATTGTTGCTTGGTTGTCCTGGACGCCATCGGGGTACTTCCGCGCGCCGAGAGCGTGGCAAGTTTCGGCACTAATTTCCGAAAGTCGCGTTGGATCTCGATACCCCTACGCTGCCCAGAACTCCTCGGTGGGTCCGTCGCGCTGGTCTGGTCGGAGCTGCGCTGGCTCGGCCTTGTGGTCGATCTCCTGGGTGCTTGAGTTACTCTCCTGGAGTTGCTGTCGCCTCTTGGTCCCTGTGCTGCTCCGCCGCCGCCTCTTCCGGCGCCTCGTCCTCCCTGGCTTCCTCCTGGCAGCATTTCCCCCGCTGCCGTCTCCAGCGCCCCTAGCTCATCCAGCGTCCCCGTTCTCTGGGTCCAGCAGCGCGGCTGCCGCCAGCCTCGCCTGGTCGCGAAGCTCGTCGGTGCGCCGGTCCACTCCTCGTGCCAGAACGGCGCAGCCATATACCCCTCCCCTTCCCTGCGCACCACTGTCAGCGCGGGGCGGGGGCCCGCCTCAAGCATTTTTGGGGGTGTTTCCGCCGCCTCATTGCCCTCGTGGTCCTAGAGGCTCCTGGGCCGGGCTCCCTGTCGTCGCCGCCTCTTTCTCTTCGCTTTCCGGCGCCGCGCCGTCTGCGGGACGCGTTGTCGCTGCCTTCGCTCCCGCCAGCTATTCCTTTCGGACACCACCGACTGCCTCCTGCTGCTCCTCGTCTCCCTGGTGCTGGTCAGCTGTGCTGCTGGTCGCTGCACTGGCGGCGCCCTAGCGGCCACTCCCAGGGCTCAGCGGCGGACAGGCGAGGGCCGCCTTGGAACTGACGGGGGCAACGGCGTGGCAGCTCCGTCGCACGCCCGGGAGATGGGGCCCGCAGGCGGGTGCGCGGCAGCACAGCCCCACCTCCCGTCCGGTTGCTTCTGGTCGCCGTCGCAGTGGTGATTAGTCCCCCAACAGCTGCTGCGGGACACAAATACCGTTGTCCACAACCCGCTGGACCGCAGAGTCTACGGCATCTCGCCGAACGGCGTCCCGCTGTGCTGCGACAGCACCATGGTGTCCCCCCTCCGCAGGGACGGCTGGCACCGGCCGCGCACCTTCGACACCGACGGCGCCGCGCTACTTGGGGCCGAAAGGCGCAAACGACGCAGGTACCACGAACTCACGACCGGCCAGTCAGGCCGCCTCATGGTCCTCTCCTGCGAGGTCGGAGGCAGGTGGGGCCGCGAGCAGCAGCAGCAGCAGCAGCAGCAGCAGCAGCAAAAGCAGCAAAAGCAGCAGCAGCAGAAGCAGCAGCAGAAGCGGCAGCCAGCAGGGCCCTCCGCCACCCCAGACGGCCATTCCAGCCGTCTGGCCGCCAGCCCTCCAGCCCCTTCCGAGGGAGGGGGCTGGCGTCAGCTGCAGCCCGTGCCCCCCAGGGGAAGAGCCCCATTCCCACGGTAGGACTCCCCTGGGGCCAGTTCCCCATCGGGGTTCGCGCGACTCCGCTGCGGTCCCCAGTGGCGCCCCGGCTTGCGCAGCAAGCCCACAGGAGCAACGCGACAACATTTTCGACAACAAGAAGCCGTACGACTCCCAACAGTGGCGCCGCAAGCAGCAGCACAACGACGACGACGACGACGACCGAGAGATGGTGCGGGCGGGGGTCGGCGAGGGCGCGCCGCTCGTGACCAGAGCGCACTTTCGCCACGGGCGCCGCGAGAGCAGGCAGCACCGCAGCGACCAGAGCGACAGCAGCCAGCACCCAACTGCGGCCACAGGCGGAGGAAAACTACGACGGCGACCAAGACAGCAACGAGCAGCACCACGACGGCGACCATCAGCACCAGCAGCACCGCCACAGCCACGACGGCGCAAAACAACGGCAGCAGCACCACCGCCACGACAGCCACCAGCAGCACCACCGGCACCACGAGCACCACCCAGCGCTGCACTGACCCAGACTCCCGGATTGACTTGGAGATCTCAGGAAGAACATATTCTTGGAGGGACTCTGAAGTCTCAGGGGGAGGTGAAGGGAGGAGCGCGCGAGGGCAGGGAGTCCCGTGGCGACCAGAGCGACGGCAGCCAGCACACAGCCACGGCAGCAGGCGGCGGCTCCCAACGACCGCGCACACGACGAGAGCGACCACCACGACAGCGACCAGCAGCAACACCAACGCCACCGCCACGACAGCGCCCAACAGCAACACCACGACAGCGACCGGCAGCGCCGCCACCAGCACCAGCACCAGTAGTGACACTGGCAGCACCTCCTGTACCACGACAGGAGCTGCGCACACCAGGGAGGGACCAGCGAGACGCGCTGTACGGCTACCGCGGACAGCGCGTGGGTGAGGCGAGCCACCCAGGGCCACCGCACAACGGCGCTGCCCCAGCCACGCCGCCGCGCGGACGCTCGCAAGCGGACCTGCCCGAGCCAGCGGGCGAGGTTTCGGGCGAATCTGCGCCCCGGCCGGCGGAAGCCGAGACTCCCCCTCGAGAGCTCTTCGGTTCGCCGGGCCGGTCTCTGTCGCCGCTGCCTGCCGGACAGAGCCACTTCAGCGCCGTGTTCGGACAGGCGCCTGCGGCCGAATGGGGCTTGTCTGGGCTGTTCGCGCCGCCGCGGGAGACAGCCGAACGCGCGGCGGCGGAGGAGCAGCAACAGCCGCAGCAACCACAGCAGGGGCCGGACCCCCAGGAGCCGGAGCAGCCAGAGGCCAGCGAGGTTTGCTACATGTGCCAGGAGCCGCTCGACGACTCGAGGGTGCAATGGCCCGACTGCGGCCACGTCCCCCACTGCTTCCACGCAGCCTGCCTGGCCCGGTTTCGCCCTCTCCGCCGCGGACTCGCACACCTGCGGAACTCGGGCGGCGATTCCAGCCGGGTAGAGGACGCAGCGTGCCCGCTCTGCAACCACAGGTGGGGCGACGGCCCGAACTCTGCCGCGCGGCTCGCGGAGCTGGCGGGCCACCTTGGGCGCGGCGGGGGGCTACCTTTCCGAGGGTGCCGCTGCCTGCCTTGCCGGGGAGTTGCAGGCGACCCGAGTTCCGACGAGGAGCGGGCCAACCGGTACCGATGGGGGGCCCCTCGTGCTGCCGGAGGGGCCGGCACCGCACGCGATCGCCATGTGCCCGCGCCACCCGGAGCGACCCTTGCGATGGCGGCACTCGCGCGGGCCAGATGGGCTGACGGGCAGCTGGGAATGCGCCGCCTGCGATGTCGCCCGCTCGGTAGCGAGGTCCCGCCGCCGCTGGGCGAGAGGCCGCCGCAGTGCCCTTGCGGCCAGCCAGGGCAGGTCGAGTGGGTCGCCCGGGCCAGCGGGGACGCCAGAGGGCCTTGGAGGTGGCAGGGAAACTGGCTCTGCGAAAGCTGCGCCGCCACAGCGCTGCCAGAGCCAGAGGCCGCACAGCCCGAACGGCCGCCAGAGACAGGAGCAGGAGGCGGGAGCCCGGACCCACCGGCGGCGGACGGCCCACGAACCCAGTTCAGCGGCTGGTCGCCTCCACGACACGCGGCAGAGACCAGCCGCTACCTCAACTCCTGGATGTACGTGCCGCTCCTCCTGGACGCCGCGGGCCAGCTTGACGTGCAGGAAGCCGCCGCGTGGCGACAGCACCCTGCTGCACACTGGTGGGAGAACGCCGCGGCGTTCCTCCGAGAGAGGCCGCGCGCCGACGTGTCCGCCTTCCGCGCGGCGGGCCCCCTGCTGCCGGAGGCTCTCGGAGACGGGCTGCACGGGGACCAACTGGGGCTGCCAGCGGTGGTAGGGCTCCTTGCCGACGACAGAGGATACGTGCAGCCGATCGCCCAGGACATCGTGATGCAGATCTTCGGGGGGGTGGACTTCATCCGCGCTGTGGAGGTGCAGGCTGACGCCTACAGGGCATGGCTTGCGCGCGGGCTGCCTCCAAGACCCGCCCCGGCAGCAGGGCCTGGAGCACCGGGCCCGCCAGACGCGCGCGGAAGAGGCGCCGAGAAGGAGCTGCAGGCGGAGGGAGAGGGAGGCGCCGCACCAGGCAGAGGAGGGAGAGGCGCAAGAGGAGGCAGAGGGCGAAGAGGCGCTGGAGGAGGCAGAGGGGGCAGAGGCGCCCGAGGAGGCAGAGGGCGAGCAGGCGGCAGAGGAGACTTCAGCAGCGACGACGACGACGACGAGAGCAGCGAGGAAGAGGGCAGCCACAGCCAGAGCGACAGCGCCTCCGACAGCGCTGGCCCCGCGCCGCCTGCGCCAGCGCCGCCGCCTGCGCCAGCGCTGCCGCGCAGTGGCGGAGGCGGGCGACGAAACCGGCGCCCGGCACAGTCTGCCTTCCCCGACGCCGCCTGGGCGCTTCTTGGCGCAGTGGACTTGGAGGCCGAACTGCGCCGGCGGGTGCCGTGCATCCGGGCGCCGGCTTTCCTCCGCGGCCGCCTTCGCCAACTCTACCACGCGGTCCTCGAGGAGGTCCTGCGCGCAGACGCCCTTCCTGGCGACGCCGACGGGCTGCAGAAGGTGAGGGCTTGGAAGCTCCTGGTCCTCATCTGGCGCATGCTGATGCGACGGACCGCGAGCACTGGAGCGCCAGGGCGGCGAGAGCTCGAAGCGCGACTGGAGCAGTTCGAGGACGGCTCCTGGGAAGCGCTGCTGGCCCCAAGCCTGCAAGGGCAGCGGCCTCCGGGAGGAGCGCGCGGCGCTGGCGACGCCGAGGCGAGGCGCCAGCGCCTCCTGGAAGACGCGGTGGCGCTGGTCAGAGCAGGGGGCCTCAGCAAGGCGCGGCAGCTGCTCGCCTCACGCGGGCTGGCGCCGGGCACGGCGGAGACTTTGGCAGAACTGCGGGACCCCGCCCGGCGACCGCCGAGGCCCGCCGCCGACTTGCCGCCTGCCGCCCGAGCCTTCCAGCCGGCTCGGCCCGTCGAGCTTGACCGCCGCATCTGGACCGACTGCGTCCGCTCCGCCCCGAAAGGGTCTTCCAGCTCGCTGAGCGGAGCCAGCTTTGAATTGCTCAAGCTGGCCTTGGACGAAGACGAGACGCTCGAGCTGCAAGCTGCCGTGGCGGAGCGCTACGCGCGGGCCGAGATCCCAGCGAGCGTTGCCCGCGCCCTGGGCACAGGCCGCATGACGGCGCTGCTGAAGGACAACGGCCGCGCGCGAGGCATTGTTGCAGGCGACGCCTTCCGCCGGCTCGTGGGCAAGGCCCTCTCCCGGCAGTATGGGTCCGAGATGGACGACGCCTGCGCGCCGTTCCAGTACGCGCTGTCGACGAGAGCGGGCACAGACAGCGCCGCCCACTTCCTCCGAGCGGCCACGGACTCCGACCCCGCGGCGACCATCGTCAGCATCGACGGCATTGGGGCCTTCGACCACGTGCGCCGCGACCGCATGATCGAGAAGCTCCTCTCGCTGCCGGAGGCTTCTGCCATGGTCCCATTCGTCCTGCTCTCCTACGGCCAGCCGTCGACGTACCTCTGGACAGACGATGCAGGAGTCGCGCACGAGGTGAGGCAGGGAGAAGGCGGAGAGCAAGGCGACCCGCTCATGCCGGCACTGTACTCCCTGGCTCAGCATGGCGCCCTGGACAGAGCCCGCGCGCAGCTTCAGCCGGGCGAGACGCTGATCGCCTACTTGGACGACGTCTACATTGTCTGCAGACCAGAGCGCGCCACAGAGGCTTTCCGCGTGGTTACCGCTGCCATGCGCGAGTGGGCAGGGATCGAGGCGAACCTCGGCAAGTGCCGCATGTGGAACCGGGGCGGCTTCGAACCAGCAGGGCATTTGTCGTTGGGTACAGACGTGTGGGTTGGCGGCGCCGGCACGCCTGAGGAGCACCGCGGCCTCAAGGTACTTGGCACGCCCCTGGGCACCGCGGCGTTCGCGGCCCGGCTGACGCAGCAGAGGACGGACGAGGAGCGCAGCTTCCTACAAGAACTCCCCAACCTGCCGGACCTTCAGTGCGCTTGGGCGCTCCTGCTGTACTGCGCGGTGCCGAGGTGCAACCACGTCCTGCGCACGCTGCCTCCGACGCTGTCGCGGTCCTACGCCGAGGCCCACGACCGCGGGCTGCAGGAGGCGCTGCACGACCTCCTCGACCTCGACCCCGCGCCAGCTGAAGCAGAGAGGCTCTCCCGAGTGAGCTCGCTGCCGCTCGGCCTCGGAGGCCTTGGACTCAGATCAGCCGCTCGCGCGGCCGAGTGCGCGTACTGGGCGTCTTGGGCGGACGCGCTCCCCATGTTGCGACAAAGAAACCCTACAGCAGCAACGGAGCTCACCGCCACCCTCCTCGCCGGAACAGGCGCCGCAGCCTCGTGCCTCCAGGAAGCTGAGCGCGCGAGGGCTGCCGCCGCCCGCGACGGCTTTGCGACGCGCCCAACTTGGCAGGAGGTCTGGGACGGCGCGCGCCCTGAACAGACAGAGCCAGAGCCGGGCGAGTGGAAGCACGGATGGCAGTACCACGCCTCCGCAGCCCGAGAGCGGCGCTACAGGGAGGAGGTCGTTCTCCCGAGCCTCACAGACGACCAGCAGTGGATGCTCGACTCGCAGGGAGGCCGCTGCGGCGGACGGCACCTGGCCCTGATCCCCTCGACGCCAGAAAGCACGTTCACGCCTGAGCGCTTCCGGGCACTGCTCCAGAGACGGCTCCGCTTGCCGCTGGACGCCACGGCAAGCAGGTGCAACGGGCGCTCCTGCCAGGCCCACTTGGACGAGAGAGGCGACCACAGAGCAGCTTGCCCCCGCAGCGGACGCCTGCTGAAGCGCGGCGCTCCCATCGAGCGGATGTGGGCCCGGGTGTGCCGGGAGGCAGGAGGCCGTGTCCGCACCAACGTGTTCCTGCGCGACATGAACCTCCCGGGCATTGCCGCCAACGACGGGCGCCGCATCGAGGTGGTGGCCAACGGCCTCCCTGCCTACCACGGCAGGCAGCTCGCCATCGACGCCTGCATCGTATCCCCGCTGAGGGCCACCGGCAGGCCGATTGCGCGGAGGCTCCGCCCAGGACTCGCGCTGAAACGGGCGAGGCGCCGCAAGCAAACGACTTACCCTGAGCTGGTGGGCTCGCGGCGGGGCTACCTGCTCGTAGCCGGAGCAGAGACGGGCGGCCGCTGGGACGAGGAGGCGTACAAGCTCCTCGTTACCCTGGCCCGCGCCCGGGCGAGGAGCGCGCCGGCGGCGCTGCGAGGATCGCTTGCGACCGCGCTGCTGCACAGGTGGAGCGGCATGTTGGTGTACGCCATCCACGACGCCCTGGCCGCGAGCCTGCTCGAGGACGTGCCCTCTGAAACGCTAGCGACAGACGGGGAAATCCCTGGCGAGGGGACGTTCTGTCGGCGCTCCCCTGAGAGCACCGGCCCCCGCGTGGGGGCGCGCACGGTCAGGGCGGGGCACAGCAGCTCGCAGGAACGCCGACAGCAGAGCTACTGTGAACAGCACCACAACCACCGCCACCACCACCAGCACAACTACGAACAGCACCTCCACCAGCACGACGACGACCACGACGACCAGGAGGAGGAGGAGAAGGACCACCACGACCAGCACCACCACGGCCAGCACCACCACGGCGACCAGCACCACGGCGACCAGCCCCACCACGGCGACCTGCACCACGACTACGCGCCACCACGGCGACCAGCACCACCACGCCCAGCACCACCACGACCAGGAGGACCACCACGACCAGCACCAACACGGCAACCACCACCACGACCAGCGCGACTACGGCCAGGAGGACCGCCACGACCACAACCACGACCGCGGCCAGCACGACTGCTGCCAGCACGACCAGCACCACCACCACCACGACCAGCACGACCACGGCCAGAGGACCACCACGACGACCACCACTACCAAGACCAGCACCACCACGACCACGGCCGGCACCACTACAGCGACCAGCACCACCACGGCGGCCAGCACCACCTCGACCAGGACCACCACGACCAGGAGGACCACCACGGCGACCAGCGCCACCACGGCGACCAGCACCACCCCGGCGACCAGCACCACCACGACCAGCACCACCACGGCGACCGGCACCACCACAGCAACCAGCACCACCACGACCAGCACCACCACGACCAGGAGGACTACCACGACCAGCACCACCACGGCGACCAGCACCACCACGGCGACCGGCACCACCACAGCGACCAGCACCACCACGGCCAGCACCACCACGACCAGGAGGACCACCACGACCAGCACCACTACGGCGACCAGCACCACCACGGCGACCAGCACCACGATTACGCACCACCACAGCGACGAGCACCACCACCAGCACCACCACGACCAGGAGAACCACCACGACCAGCACCACGACCAGCACCACCACGGCGACCACCACCACGACCAGCGCGACCACGGCCAGGAGGACCACCACGACCACCACGACCGCGGCCAGCACGACCACGGCCAGCACGACCACGGCCAGCACGACCAGCACCACCACCACCACGACCAGCACGACCACGGCCAGAGGACCACCACGACGACCACCACTACCAAGACCAGCACCACCAGGACCACGGCCGGCACCACTACAGCGACCGGCATCACCACGGCGGCCAGCACCACCTCGACCGGCACCACCACGACCAGGAGGACCACCACGGCGACCAGCGCCACCGCGGCGACCAGCACCACCACGGCGACCAGCACCACCACGACCAGCACCACCACGGCGACCGGCACCACCACAGCGACCAGCACCACCACGGCCAGCACCACCACGACCAGGAGGACTACCACGACCAGCACCACCACGGCGACCAGCACCACCACGGCGACCAGCACCACCTTCACGACCAGCACCGCGACTACGCACCACCACGGCGACCAGCACCACCACGAGCAGCACCACCACGACCAGGAGGACCACCACGACCAGCACCAACACGGCGACCAGCACCACGACAAGCGCGACCACGGCCAGGAGGAGCACTACGACCACCACCACGACCAGCACCACGGCGACCACGACCACCACGACCACGGCCAGCACGACCAGCACCACCACCACCACGACCAGCACGACCACGGCCAGAGGACCACTATGACCACCACCACCACGACCAGCACCACCACGCCCACGGCCAGCACCACCACGGCGACCGGCACCACCACGGCGACCAGCACCACCACGACCAGCACCACCACGACCAGGAGGACCACCACGGCGACCAGCACCACCACGGCGACCAGCATCACCACGGCGACCAGCACCACCACGACCAGGAGGGCTACCACGACCAGCACCACCACGGCGACCAGCACCACCATGACCAGCACCACCACGGCGACCAGCACCACGACTACGCACCACCACAGCGACCAGCACCACCACCAGCATCACCACGACCAGGAGAACCACCACGACCAGCACCACGACCAGCACCACCACGGCGACCACCACCACGACCAGCGCGACCACGGCCAGGAGGACCACCACGACCACCACGACCGGCACCACCACGACCACGGCCAGCACGACCACGGCCAGCACGACCAGCACCACCACCACCACGACCAGCACGACCACGGCCAGAGGACCACTACCACTACCACCACGACCAGCACCACCACGCCCACGGCCAGCACCACCACGGCGATCAGCACCACCACAGCGACCAGCACCACCACGACCAGCCCCACGACCAGGAGGACCACCACGACCAGCACCACCACGGCGACCAGCACCACCACGGCGACCAGCACCACTACGACCAGCACCACCACGGCGACCAGCACCACCACGACCAGCACCACTACGACCAGCACCACCACGACCAGGAGGACCACCACGACCAGCACCACCACGGCGACCAGCACCACGGCGACCAGCACCACTACGACCCGCACCACCACGGCGACCAGCACCACCACGACCAGGAGGACCACCACGACCAGCACTACCACGGCGACCAGCACCACCACGGCGACCAGCACCACCACTGCGACCAGCACCACCACGACCAGCACCACCACGACCAGGAGGACCACCACGACCAGCACCACTACGGCGACCAGCACCACCACGGCGACCAGCACCACTACGACCAGCACCACCACGGCGACCAGCACCACCAGGACCAGGGGCAGCACGGCGACTAGCAGCACCACGACAGCAGCCAGCAGCACAGAGGAGGAGGAGGAGGCGGCGGCGGCGGCGGCGGAGGCGGCGGAGGAGACGCTGGCGCTGGCCCGAGGCAGCGCGGCGGCGCGGAGGGCGAACGCACCGCCGCGAGGCGCAGCGCCGCCGCAGGTTCGCGCACGGGCAGAGGGGGGAGGATTCAGCCCTCCTAAGCCACAACCCTCTGCCCAGCGACCTGCGGCGGCGGGCGCGGCGACCAGCGGCGGCAGCCGGCGGCGAGGCGCGGCGGCCTGCGGCCGACCTGCGGCAGGCGGCGACGGGCCAGGCGCCGCGGCGAAGCGCGGCGGCCGGCGGCGGCGCGGCCGCGCGGAGGCCGAAAGCTGCGCCGCCAGCGCCGCCCCGAGGGCGGCGGCGGCGGCACCGGCTGGCGGCGGCAGGCCTGGCGGCGCGGCGCTGCGGCGAGCGGCCGGCCGGCGACTGGCGGCGACGGGCCGGGCGCCGCAGCACAAGGCGCCGGCTGGCGGCGGCTGGCCGAGAGCGCCCCGGGCGCTCCTGGGGCGCCGAGAGGCTTGGGGCAGCTGAGCGGGAGGCACCCGACGGGGCGGCTAGCTGGCGGGAGGTTCGGGGTTGCCCTGGCTTCGGCCGAAAAGCCCCCGCTCCTTCGGGGCGCGCCCCCGCCCCGCACTCACCGTGAGCGCGCGGGGAGTCCGCACTGGCCGCAAGGGAACGCGGCAGCCTCGGGGTAAGGAAGGGGGGGGGGGGGGGGGCAAAAAAAAAAAACAAACAAAAAAAAAACACACAAAAAAAAAAAATGCCCAACGCGAAGACGAGGACCGCGGTCTCCCACCAGTAGCCGAGCATCTTAACGCCCAACCGATCGATGGCGGACCCAACCCAGCCACCGCTCGTGCGGATCGTGCCCGTGTGGTCGGGCGGAGGTGGTAGCGGGGGCGTGCTCCAGCCGGCCCACCAGTGGGGCAGGTGTGGTACCCAACCGCTCCACTCCCAGTATCCATCCAGCCCGCGCAGCTGGTCAAGCTATCGCCATCGCCCGTCCGGTTCTCCGGAGCGGATGGCTGCCCAGGCGCGCCCATGGGTCCCTCGCTCTCCTCACGTGCCGGCGTAGCAGGGCTGCCCGCGGGCTTTCCCTTGCCTACGCGCCCGGTGCCCGCAGGGGTGGTCGTTGTCGTCGACCTCGCCCGCGGCGGCGAGGGAGTGCGTGGCACCCCCGGGGGCTTGGCCTGCGGCCCTCGCCCCTTCCCTCCTTCAGGCGCGGGCTTGGCAGGCTGACCCTGCCCTTTACCTTGCCCCCCACCGCCTGTCGGTAGGGCTTTCGGTCCAGGCAGGGCTGGCGGCGTCGGCGCTGGGATCTCGTCCCCCGCGCGCCCGAACGGCAGCCAGCTCAGTGCCCCTTGGACCAAGAACGCACCACCCATACCCAGGATCATCAAGTGCGACCCAAGGAAGCGCACAGCCATGGCACCGCAGCAGCGCTCCCTACCCCACGGACTAGCACGGCTGCGGTTATGGCCGCACTGCGGCCCCCCGGAACACCCGCGCGTCGGCCTGAGCCGAACGCTACGGACCCAAAATGGCTACCTGGGCCCACACCCCCTCCCACTTCACCTGCAGTCTACAAACCAATCACACTTTACAATTTGTGGTTTAAAATGCTGGCCTCGCCAGACGCTTTCAGGAAGAGAGCGGCCAGAGCATGGCCGATCATTTTGGAGGATTGGCGTGCCACCCCTCAGAACCGCCAGTGGGGGAAGGTGAACGGCGTGATCTCGGGTACGATTTCTGTTTTGCTCTCCGCGGGTTGGGACCCCCAGGGACCCTGGAAGTGAACCCACCCTACTGGCGAGAAGTAGGAGGTGAGCGAAGACACTTCCGACTCGGACTCTGACTGGGAGCCTTTCTTGGAGGTCTTCAGAGACACCTTGAGGCTCTCCGTCAGGACACACGCTGCTATGCATTATAATGGAGGGGGGCCTGGAGCAGGGAGCCGGAACCACTGATATTGTAAAACTGATGCGTGCTTTAGACGTGAAGGGGCCCAATAAGTTTCGAGGTTCCCTCAGCACGGTCATGACTGTAGGTTTCTAGCCCAAAGCTCGGCTCTCCCAGGCGGGGGTGAAGGTCACCTCTATATTGTGTCCGCGTTGCGAGCCGCTGCTGGACCTGTATTGCCAATAATGACATTTCCCACTGCGCCGACACGCAGCATTTAAGCACCCAAGCAGTTCAATGTGCTCACTTGCTATTGGCTCCGAGGCCTCCTCCCCAGAGAAGGGATGGCACACATCCAGCTAGGCACCCGCGGATCGACCCGCCAAGCTTCCCCGTGCCAGGTACGATCCCGCACAACCTGCTGGGAGCCTTCCTCGTGGACGGGAGGGTTTGGCTGAGCGGGGACGCGTCTGGAGGAAGCACTCTAGTCACGCTAAGCTGCGTCGTATCACCTGGTCGGTTGTCTGTTGCCTTCGGGGCTGATCCCAGGGAGGTGCCTCTGCCTTTCTGTGCCTCTGGAGCTTTTGGTGAGGCCCTCCCTGGCCCGCATCAGGAAATCAACCGAGGTGAGTTGTTTGCCATCAAGAAGGCCCTGTGGGCTACTCCCGGCAAGGACCTGACATATGTTACTGACAGCGCCTACGTCCAGCGAGGCGCGTTCTGTCTGCGCTCGAAGGCCCGTTGGAGGCCGAAGACGAATCCGGACCTTGGGCACCTCGTCAGAGAGCTCTGGGGGGCCCGAGACGTCCTCGTGGTCAAGGTCGCTAGCCCTGCGACCGCTGCCGAGTTCGAGCGAGCGTCGGATGATTTGAAGGCTTTGTTTCAATTCAACGAGCTGGCTGCTAAGCTAGCTGACAGGTTCTCTCCAGCCGCACAGGTCCCGAGCGCGGCAGCTGATCCCCTCCTGGAGCTCGAGACGGAGGCCAAGGCCATCCGCGCTCGTTTGTCTGGCATGTTGGTTTCGATGCACTTGTACCGCCCAGAGGGAAAAGTTTCCAGAGCTGCCGCCCAGGGACCTATCAGGAAGAAGCTGGATCATTTCATTTCATTTCATACCGCAGCGACGGGGGCCGGAGCACCGCGCGACCGCGCGCGCCGCCCCAGCGCGCCCCCCCGCGCGCGGCCCGCTCAGGTCGCAGCCGCCCCTGCGCTCCCGGGGCAGGGCCGCGGGGCCGACCCCGTCTCGGGAAGGGTCTTTCACCCCCGTCGTGGGTCGGCCCAGGCACCACCGCGGGCAACGGCGCCCTGGCCTCGCGGCCAGTGCGACCCCTCCCCGACCGGCACCTCAGAGGGCAAAAAGGGAGGGGCGGCGCAGCGGGCGGCGGGGTGCAGGGGGGGGGGCAGAGTTCGCTCCTCCCCCTCCCCGGCCGCTCGCGGCACGGGGACGGACAGCAGCCAGGAGGCCGCGCGAGCGGTCGAAAGAGGAAAAGAAAAAGGGGGGGACAAGGCACCAGGCATTGGGCAGCCAGATGGCTTGGGGGAAGACCGCCGCCACAGACGCACAGAGCAACGCGGCTGCACTGGGCCCCTGGGCGCGGCAGCCTCGCCCAGCCCTTAAAAGAACAAAGGCCACTCGCAGTCAGATCCCAACCGGTTCCAGCGCCACAAGCGGCGGTGAAATTGCTTAAGTCCCCCTGGGGGGCGGGGCCGCAGGCCCCCCACCAGGTCGGGAAGGAATTTCGAACGGGCGCGAGCCTATCGAGTCGTGCAAGGCGCGCGCCACGTAGAGAACGTGGTGCCACCTCTCTTCAGGCGGCGGCCCCTCGCGGAAGAGCTGGTACATGTACATGGCTGCGTGCGATAGCGGCGGGAGCAGGGCGCGAGACTCCAAATCGGCACGCTGCGCGGCCTGCCTGGGGCAGCCGCAAATAGCATGGGCAATGTCCACCTGCGCAGCTCCGCAAGCAGCACAGCGGTCCAGAGTGACGGGGAGACACGGCACGCCAAGGACTGGGAGGGGCCATGCCCCGGACATACGCGCTACGGACCACATGCGAAAGTCGCGCCACATATGTGGCCCAAAATCCAACTGAAGTAGGGCCATCGGTAGCTGGTTGGGCTCGGGGACGAGCACAGCAAAGGACATCCCGAGCGTGGGCAAGCAGGCGCCGGTCGCGCGTTGGAACGCGGCCCGATCGCGCGCCCGCAGGGCCGGGCGAACCACCTGGAGTTTGAAGTCACGCAGCAGAGACCTACGCAACTGCAGAGAGCCCTGGGCGCCACGCAGAGGGTGGCGGAAAGCTGGGTGGACATCGATGTCCAGGACAGGTGGCGTGAGCTCCGCCATGCGGGCGGCGACGGCGCTCGCCCAGGAGGCGCACGTAAGGCGGCGCGCCAGCGCGAGCATGCGGGTGCCGGGGTGGTCAGGAGGCTGCGCCAAAAGACGGGCGCGCGCCATGATTGCTCGCTCGAGCATCCGCGTGCCCAACCGGCACGTCCAGCCGCATTGCGCAACGACCACCTCGCCTGGCACAGGGGGGCCAGTGGTGCACGCCAGGAGCCTCCTAGCCCACGCGGCCTGCATGCGATTCAACTCATACTCAGCCCGATGGGCCAAGAGCAGAAAAGGAGAAGGGTATAAGATAGCGCTCTCGACCCGGAGGGGGACCTGCGCAGAAAGGACGGGGAGGCCGAATCCGCCGCTCTCCCCAGCGTGGAAAAGCGCTTCAAACAACGCGTGGCCGCGGGCCAAAACAGAGCGGAGGAGGGGTTGAAAGGTGAGCTCGGCGTCAACGAGAACGCCAAGCACCAGCTTCTGGTCCACGACGGGGCAGCCCACCCACCCGGGGTCGGGGCTACCAGCAACGGCCATGGCCGCTGTTTTACCAGAGGCGTAATTAAAGTCGGCACGGACAGCGCGGGCAAACCGGCTACACGCAGAGTCTGGCTCGGCAGATACAACGGCGCGGAGGGCGCCTGGGGACGGGCAAGGGACAGTCAGATCGTCAGAGAACTGCAGTGGCTGCAAGTGCTCCGCACCCAGCGCGTCCTGGGCTGCGGCACGATCGGCTTCAGTGGCCCCTCCGCACGCCCACTCGGCCAGTTCCGCCGCGGCTCGAGCCCACGGCGCGCCCTCGCCCAGTGCCGTTGCGGAGACGCTAGTCGCGATCGCCGCGGCCGCGTCGACGGAGGGGGGTGAAGGGGGGCGGAGTGGAAAGGGAGGGGGAGGGTCCACGCCAACTGGACAAGCGCGCCGGTAGACCGGCGGAACCCAGGTTGCACAACCCTGCGGCAGGACAGCCATTACAGCATCAGCTAGCCACTTCACCTCGGCATTAAACACATACGCCGAAAAACGCTTACCTTGGGCGGTGCCGCAGGGCAGCCGAAAAAACTCAGACGCCAGCCCCTGGAGGGCTACAAACTGGATGTCCATCTGAATGAAATCATCCAACAAGAGCCACTCGTCCTCCACCACGCCAGCAAGATACGACGACAGGCGCATGGCATCATGCGAGGCCACATCAAAGGCCCAGCGAAGGTCAGTAAGCGCCCAGTACGTGGGGAGCCCTTGAGCGCCGCGGAGCTGCGCGTGGAGCAGCAGCGCTAGCAACACAAGCAAGGGGTCCCCG